GAGCAAAGACTTGAAAAACCAAATGTCTAATCAGTGATCAGTGAGTAGACTGGATAAAGCAAAATGCAGCACATATTTACACCATGGAATACTATGCAGCCATAAAAAAGGATGAGTTCATGTCCTTTGCATGGCATAGATGAAGTGGAAAGCCATCTATCTTCAGCAAACGTAACACAGGAACAGAAAACGCAAACACTGCAGTGTTGTCACTCATAAGTGGGGAGTTGAACAATAAGAACTCATGGACACAGATGGAAGGGAAACATCACACATCCGGGCCTCGTTGGGGGTGCGGGGTCTTGGGGAGGGATAGCGATCAGGGAGGCAATACACTAATGTAGATGATGGGTTTGATGGGTGCAGCAAACCACCATGGCACGAGGTACGCTATGTAACAAACCTGCACCGTTCTGCCACATGTATACCAGAACTTGAAGTATAACTAAAAAAAAGAGAAGTTCAAAAATATATATAAGGCATTTTAATATGAAAAAATGAGGAATGCTAACATAAAAAATCATTTTTATCTTCGGAGATTCAAAGCTACCTTGGTCTCTCATTTAGGTTTGTTGTCCATACATGGGTATATTGCTATTGCTGGGTTTAGTGATTGTGGCATTTTCTGACTGGTCTCCTGGTTCCCATACCGTGCTGTCCTCCTCTTTACATTCCAGCTTGAGATGGCCTATTCCTGAACCTCCCCTCCACTCTTAGGGGCCTTCCCAGGGAACTCCCTCGAACACAATGATCCTAGTCACGGGGAGATAGTGCATGCGATAGCACTTCCAGATAGCTTTCCTGTACTTTCTCTTCCTGTGAACCACTGTGTTGTCCTGGTGCCTCCTCCGCTCTTTGTCCCCCAGGCTCCATATCGCGAGTGGCAATCACTGACAATTTGCATCAGCTAGTGACGTTCAGTATGTCCCGGCTTATGCACGTAGCCAAGCGCCTCCAAATGTCACTATATGTGTAAGTCTCCTCACTTGATAGGTTGATGTGTTCAAAACCAAATGCAGAGGAATATGTATGTTGTGTCTGTCGGTTAGTATCCCCGCCAGGGAGGCTCACGTGTTTTTAAGTCCTGATTGGATGGTGACTACTATCTAGCGAAAACAGACGCACAAAGTAAAAAGTACCTTCGTCAGAGGACCAAGGGGATGAGAGGAAATGTGGTCACCACATCCAATTTACACGGATATACTCACAAGGTTGCATTTATCAGCTGAAGTTCCAGACCTCAAGTGCATAGTCAGATCTTTAGGGAGCATGAACACTACACGAGAACACGGTGTGAGAACAACCTGAGCTCTGCGTTCCGCAAAGTACCCACAAATTGCGGATTAGTATTCAGTAATCCTCGTCTTACTACCTAAACCATTTTTTATCTCCATTCTTGCCTAAAATATAGGTGTGTGGGGCGGACATATCAAACTCAATTTACCTCGTCATGTGAGTCATCACCATGGTGTGACGTGCGATCTCCTCCAAGTGCTGCGCTGTTAAAAATAGAGGAAAGACTGAAAGAAGAGAGTTTCAGCTGATGTTGATGTTATAGATGGATTTGTATGTCATTCTAACATAATACTTTGTGTGCCTCGTGATGGATATTATAAGTATGTTGAGAAATATCAGCCATTTCTTGTTAACCAATAGGGGGATCCAAGAAAGTGGTATTGTGATTTGTGCTTTATCCCTTTAGGCCTCCCTGAGTATACTTGCAAGTGGCACTGCACCGTGTAAGCCGGAATCTGAGATTGTTCACTATGTTAGCAACCCTGGAACTAGGTCTCGCAGTTTGACTCTCAATCGCATAAATTACCTGCTCGCTTTTACTCAATTTGGCTTGCGCTTTTCTGAGCGTTGGATAGGAGTTGACGAGTGAAGAATATAATTCTTGAGCTATAAGATCGAGCTGATCTTCGAAAGCTGATGTGCTTTTACTCCATATCTGTTATTGTAGGCTATCTCCTTAAGACATAAATGAACAGGAACATCTTAAGTGTGTCTTCGTGTGTGGCATGCACAGTCGCTCTTTCTACTTTTAAACTCTCTAAAGTGGACGATTAACCTGGACAGGAAGTCCGACTCTATTCTCCTCAATTTGGCAATCATTTCTCCCTTATTGTAATTGAACACACCTAAGGGAACTTTTCGTCTTCTGACCGGGTTCTGGTCCTCCTAACAAGGACTCATTACCCCTTCCTCTCTACTCAGGGAGTCCATGATTTCAAAACCATCTTCAGCATTACGTGGCCTTTGAGCATAATGTTTGATTTCCCACTGGAAATTTGGAGAGGGAAGATATCCGATAATGAATTAAGCATATGTGTGGTTATTAACATTAATCAGTATCGACAGGATTCATTATTATGACTATCACTATGCTCGTTAAATACTTCCCTGATTAAATTTATAACGCTTTAGTCTTCCTCACATTAATTGTGCCGATTAGACTGATGAGTATATGTATTTGTACTGTGATTATTGGAATTTTATTAGTATATATAATCCCGCCAGAGACATTATCGTCGTATCTCAATGTTTTTCTGAAATTTCTCCACTATTTTTATTCGCGCATCAAGGAAAAGAAATTCTTTCACTAATCGTAGGCTCAAAGAAAAAAAATAATACAAAATTAATTAACTGGACAAATTTTTTAAGCGGGGCAAATATTATAGGGTATTACGCAGGTTGAGTATCCAAAATCGTCAAAATCCGAAATCTGAAATGCTCCAGAAATCCAACATTTTTTGACACCTAGACATGATGCTCAAAAGACACATGGTCATGGTGGTGTGATAGAGGGAGTGGTTGAGCTCACGGGTCAACTGTCGTATTCGAGGGCAGCCTTAACATGGGAATAAATGTATTTGGGCTATGAACTTTAGGACCTTGAGGAGTTGAGATAGCGATTATGGAGTAAGTTCTAAAATGTTTAGAATCTTATATAGTGCATTCACAAAGTAAAATTGTTCTTTGGCTGAGTGTCTAAAAGCTAATTGATTTAGTTTTAATTCACCAATAATTTATGTCTCTACATAATAGATAAATGTCAAATTTACATCATAACATATTAAATCAATCTGGGAACTCTTTGCTAGTATTCATGCAAATTACCTTTCCTTAAGAATTAGACTTATAATGGAATATCTCGGATACATTATGTATTGTCATGGGAAAAGTTATGCATGCTAAATATGCTTAGCCAAAAAGATTTGGGTTATGATTACCTTGACTTTATGTATTGAGACAAGAAAATATGTGGCCATATATAGCCATATGCAGAAAATAGAAACTGGACCCCTTATTACACTTATATTCGATGAGTGAAGTGTGCACCTCAAGAGTTGGGTGGCCTGTTAAAGAGGTCTGTAACATAACTGTTTGGCGGAAAAGGGACTTGTAGGTCAAGAACCTACGCAGAAATCCGGGAGAGTTGCTATTGTGAATAGAGCTGCAATAAACATATGTGTGCTTGTGTCTTTATAGTAGAATGATTTATATTCCTTTGGGTATATACCCTGTAATGGGATTGTTGGGTCAAATGGTATTTCTGGTTCTAGATCCTTGAGGAATTGCCACACTGTTTTCTACGATAGTTGAACTAATTCACACTCCCACCAACAGTGTAAAAGCATTCCTATTTCTCCACATCCTCTCCAGCATCTGTTGTTTCCTGACTTTTTAATGATCTCCATTCTAACTGGCATGAGATGGTGGTATCTCACTGTGCTTTTGATTTGCATTTCTCTAATGACCACTGATGATGAGCTTTTTTTTTCATATGTTTGTCAGCCGCATAAATGTCTTCTTTTGAGAAGTGTCTGTTCATACCCTTTGCCCACTTTTTGATGGGGTTGTTTTTTTCTTGTAAATTTGTTTAGGTTTCCTGTAGATTATTATTAAAATAATGCAAATATATAAAATGCTATCTTTAAGATGTAAAGGAAGGGTATTTGCAGGGGAGGGTCATGTAGAAGAAGAAATTGCTTTTGTATTTTAGCAATTTTTCCACCTTAACAGTAAGTTCTACAGAAGTTAGATGCTGAATTGAAATTGTATTTTTATCCAAAATGTAAGAATCTATTCAAGAAAAGGTAAAATTGGTATACCCATTACCAAATCCAATTAAATACAAGATTTATATACATAGTTGCACATCTCTAAGATTTAAATAAGATTGCCAGATGCTTCCATTTATCCATGGTAGCAAAAATAGTTTGTTTCATATATCAGATATTTATGTAAAACACCCAAAAAGCACTTAAGTATAAAACTTGCTACAGAGTAAGCAATATGTAATTATTACCTATAATTAATATTATTGTTATTTGTTTAGTGTACATGTTAAGTCCTGGTATTTACACTGTGTTAATCTTATAGGCAGCTTTGTAGCTTTATATATGCCTGTCTCTAAATTGAATTTTTTTAACTTGATTCTTTTGAATTTTATCCTATTCAGTGTATATGCTTCCTTTTGAGTTTTTACTGATATAGCTTAGATATAAAAAGATTTTTCTAAAGTCAGCATCAAATACTTTAATACTTGGAAGCAGATGTACCTTGCTGTATGTAGTATCAGTCTACTCTAGCTTTGTAGGCTCAGATTTGTCATTTGTGATCAGAGTGTTGGACATCAAAGGATGTGAAGTGGTTCTCTGTTTTGTAATCAGAAACTATCCTGATATCTTGAAATAATTGCCATTAATAAAGCATTTTAGTTTCATGTTTGTAAAGAAAACTACATAAGTCGTCTGTTTTTTTGTTGTTGTTTTGTTTTGTTTTTCTTTTAGACAGAATCTCATTCTGTCACCCAGGCTGGAATGCAATGGCACGATCTTGGCCCACTGCAACCTCCACCTCCCACGTTCAAAAGCCATTCTCCTGCCTCAGCCTCCCAAGTGGCTGGGATTACAGGCACGTGCCACCATGCCCAGCTAATTTTTGTGTTTTTAGTAGAGATGGGTTTTCACCATATTGGCCAGGCTGGTCTCAAATTCCTGACCTCAGGTGATCCACCTGCCTCAGCCTCCCAAAGAGCTGGGATTATAGGCGTGGCCTACCACATCCGGCCCTGATTTTGTTTTTTAACATGAGTACTTTTCATTAGATTTTTCTATAAAGGGTATGACTGGGTTTTTATTCCTCATGTGTGTTGTAGTCTCCTACCTAGGATGTATTTGTTATTTTCTAACACTTGTTCTGCAGGTCTTCAAACCTCTACCCTCCATATGCCTCTTCAATTTATTCAGGTAGAAAGTTGCAAATGCATAAATTACATTGTATGCCTTTATTAAAACAGGCTTGCCCTTTGGCTTTATAAAAGCAGTGTCATGGCTTTTAATTTTTGTATTTCATGAAATGTAAAATATATTTCTAATGTTGTTTTCTTTTTAAAAGTTGTTGTTGGAATTATAGTGATTAGTGATGCGGGGACTTTAATGTCAGAAAGACCTCCGTTCATATCCTCATTCTACCACCTATTATCTGTGTGGTTAGAGAAAGTTGCTTGTTGGCTTAGCTCTTTTAAGCTTCAGTTTAGCCTTCTGCAGCCAGGAGATAATGACACTTACCTCATAGGGTTGTTCAAGAGCATCATAGAAATTATTAAATAATATATTATTCATAAGAGGATTTGCATAGTGCCTGAAACATAGTAAGCACTCAATATATGGGAGATGATAATGATTATTTATATTAATATTAGTTTATATTAAGAGTAAAGAAATAATAAATAATCACTATTTTTCAATAGTTTGATTTTTTAAGAAGTCAAAGAATGGAAAACTGAAGATTATTTACTCCGTATCTTCAGCTTTGAAGAAAGTCTTACAAACACCTAGATTTTATTTCATTTGCAACCTATGTGGTTTGTCTTGTGCTAGATATTACAAATATTAGAATAAATAAGACAATAGATTTGGCTAATTTACAGTTAAGGTGGCAGGGATTAATATAGCTATTTAATCAAATTACACCAATTACTACTAGAATGCAAACATACAACACCCTAACATCTATAATAATGTGACATGTTATACATAACTACAATATAATAAATGGTGTTAATGGTATCTACTCCTCATTGCATGCCTCCTGCATGCTAGCACCATCCTAAGATCTAACCTTATTTAATCCTTCCAACAATACTATGAAATAGGTATTATTATTGCCATTTTCCTGTGCCAAAACTGAGCCTCAGAAATTAAGAAACTTGCTGAAGTTCACCTGGATCAGTCACTCATCATCACCTGACTAGCTAGTGTTTCATCACTAAAGTGTGAAACAAACTAAGCTGCTTTTAAAAAGTAAAAAGAATCCCCTACTAATATCTTCCTTCTCTTTCTTATTTTACATGGATCAGGACAACTATAATACCACCTGGATCCATAGCCCTGTTCTGCCACTTATTAACTGTATGACCTTGGTTATACAGGTTATTTCATCTTTCTGTGACTCAATGTTTTCTATTACCCAATAATAACAAAAATACCTGCTTCAAGGGTTGTGGTGATATTTAAATTAATATCTGTTTTATACTCTTGCAAGTTTCTGGCATATACTAAGCTCCACATAAGTGTTCAAAAATAAATAATAACAATAAGCAAATGCATACACACATAATCATTTTAAGCCATTGAATGTATTGTCTGAGACATTCTGTGCTTTCTTACTCCTTCCCTTTTTTGAGATGGATACCACAGGACAATTCTACTTCACAATCAATACCTGCTTTTGGTAGAAAACAAAATAAATGATATTAAGTCAAAGTGCAAAATTTAGATAAAATTTAGCACTAGGTTTAGTTTGTTTGAGATGCATGTACTCATCTGTTGATCATATTTTTCCATAACTGTGAAGCTGCTAAAACTATTTTCCACTAACCATTCCTTTTGTTTACTGCCATCATTTCCTTCTCATTTTCCTTAAAACCAGACATCAGAAATGATGCTAATGAAACTTTTTGTTGACCATCACAGACTTATCCCTGTTAAGAGAACAACCTATTGCCTACAATTTTATATTTATAATCTGTATCAATTAGGAGGCAACATCTTAGAAAAAGTGAAGCATTTGGTTCTAACCAGTTGTTTTTACTTTTAAAATAAAAGTAATAAATGCCTTTGCTTGTTTAAAAATGTATTTGTTCAGTCATGGTGTTTTATGTATGTAGTCCTACCTACTCAGGAGGCCGAGGCAGGAAGATCGCTTTAGACCAGAATTTCGAGATCAGCCTCAGCAACAAAGCGAGACCCACATCTATACAAACAAATTAAAAATAAAAATAAAAGCCAGTGCTATGGTGTGCACCTGTAGTCCTAGCTACTTGGGAGGCTGAGGCAGGAGAATTGATTGAGCCTGGGGCTTAGAGGCTGCAGTGAGGCGTAATCATGCCACTGCACTCTAGCCTGGGTGACAGAGTGAAACCCTGTCTCACACACACAGAAATGTGTTACTTGATGCAGGCATGCTTGGTCCGTGTCTTTCCCAAGAAAGTTTGGTGATACAATTCATTAGTTTGGGGAAGAGTCCATATTAAGACCAATCTGGCTTGCTGTGGAAACTATTTTTTAAGTTAATAGTCTGTTTATGATCACTATAATTATTTTCATTTTGTTTTAAAATAATGTTTTATGTTTTCAAAATTGATACACATTTATATATAATAATTCATAAGGTCAATTAAAACAAAAATAAAGACCCATGATTCTTTTGTTTAAAAAAACTCTTAAGTGTACTAATTTACACTCCCACCAACAGTGTAAAAAACTTTCCTATTTCTCCACAGTCTCACCAGCATCTGTTGTTTCCTGACATTTTAGTAATCACCATTCTGACTGACGTGAGATGGTATCTCATTGTGGTTTTTGTTTTCATTTCTCCAACGACCAGTGATGATGAGCTTTTTTTCATGTTTTTTTTTATGTTTGTTGGCTGCATAAATGTCTTTTTTTGAGAAGTGTCTGTTCATATCCTTTGCCCACTTTTCGATGGGGTTGATTGTTTTATCTTGTAAATTTGTTTAAGCTCCTTGTAGATTCTGAATATTAGACCTTGTCAGATGGATGGATTGCAAAAGTTTCTCCCATTCTGTAGGTTGCTTGTTCACTCTGGTGACAGTTTCTTTTGCTGTGCAGAAGCTCTTTAGTTTAATTAGATCCCATTTGTCAATTTAGGCTTTTGTTGCAATTGTT